AAAAGAGAATTTTGGGGTTCTGTTGATTTTGGCTCGTAATAATCGATTAACTCTTGATTTAATCGATTATTTCGATCAGATTTCGAATTTTATCATCAAATCAACCCTATTTTCGAAAACCCTTTTCCCAAGAACCCTAATTCCGAAATTCCCAATTCCCAAACCCTAATTTCTCTACTTAAGCTTCTCTATGGCACTCGGAAAAGAAGAACAACCTTTTTCATACAAAAGTTAAGTACTCGTAGTGCCGGAGAACCTGTTTGTTGCAAGAAAAAGGGGCTTTTGGAACCTGGTGTGGGCTAGAAGCGATAAGAATCACTAAGTGGAGTTCTTAGTGGATTGTGTGTTGTGCCATCTCTAGGAAAAGTTGTTCATCATCTCTTGTGGATTTCAAGAGAGGTGTTTTCTTATCTTTATCTTTTCAATTGTAATTTGCTTGTAACAACTTAATTATAGTGACAGCGTTAATCCTCTGTTTGAGTGATTAGCAACTGGACGTAGGGTCTTTTGATCCGAACCAGTATAAATCTCTTGTGTAAGATTCTATCTCTTCTCTATTTACATTTACACAGTTTTTAATCGGTAAAATTTGGGAAAAAATTTGAAAACCTAATTTTTGTTAAGAAACCAATTCACCCCCCCTCTTGGTTTTTGTCCGACCACGTGAACATTTCGCTGCGCGATTCTAACAAGTGGTATCAGAGCTTGCTTTGATAGTCATTCAATTTTTCGAAAATGGCCAGACAAAATCAAACTTTTGCCGAAGGTGCGTCTATCAACATACCCTCACTTTTTGCGGGTCAAAATTATCCTTTCTGGAAAGTAAGAATGCAAATATTTTTAGAGTCTGTTGATAGAGGCGTTTGGGATGTTGTTTTAAATGGTCCATTTATTCCTAAAGTTACTGAGAACAGTGTTGAAGTTCCAAAACCTTTTTCTAGATGGACTGCAGAAGAAAATAGAAAAGCACACTTTGACGTTAGGGCTAGAAATATAATTTCATCTGCTCTAACCCTTGACGAGTTTTACAGGATTTCTGTGTGTAAAAGTGCTCAGGAAATGTGGGAAATGCTAAGAGTGACCCACGAAGGTACCGACGACGTCAAAAGAGCAAGGAAAAATTCTCTAATCCAAGAATACGAGATGTTCTGGATGCAACAAGGCGAAACGATATTTGACGTTCAAAAATGTTTTACTCATATTGTGAATCATCTCACCGGATTAGGTAAAATTTTTGACGTTGATGAATTAAATGTTAAAATCTTAAAATCTTTGGATAAGAAATGGCAACCTAAGGCATGCATCACGCATCCTTATCTACATCAACAACATGCATTCATACATCTACTTTGCTTTTACATCATCCATACGTTCATACATACATGGAATTTGATTCATGTATTCTCACATTTTGCATTGGAACCTCCGTGCATCCATACATGCGCATGCATCCTCGCATCCCCACTTGCTTGACATATACGTGCATCTACGCATCTCTCATATCAGCATCGTCATCTAAGTCCAGTCGAACTGGCACCCACATTAAGCCCAGTATCTTCCTGACACCTGCATCTAAGTCCATTCTACCTGACATCTACATTAAAAAGTCCAGTTTTCCCTGACAACATCGCCATCCTTTTGCAAGTAGTTCAGATTGACGATCAGTCCCTTCCACGGGCAATCTATATATCTTTTTTTTTCAAATAGTTTGGATTGATGGTCAGTCCCTCCCACGGGCGATCTATACATCCTTTTTCAAGCAATTTGGATTGACGATCAGTCCCTTCCACGGGTGATCTATACATCATTTTTCAGCAATTCGGATTGACGATCAGTCCCTTCCACGAGCGATTTATATATCCATTTTCAAGCAGTTCGGATTGATGATCAGTCCTTTCCACGGGCGATCTACACATCCATTTTCAAATAGTTCGGATTGATGATTGATCCCTTCCACGGGCGATCTATACATCCATTTCCAAGCAGTTCAGATTGATGATTAGTCCCTTCTAAAGGCGATCTATATATCCTGCTTCCAAATTACTTTTCAGTTTGATGGTCAATCCCTTCCACGGGTGACCACCATCCTTTTTATCTTTTGGATTAACGATCAGTCCCTTTCATGAGCGATATATATATCCTTTTAATTTTCTTGTTATATTTTGGATTAGTTTGTCTCTTTTACGAGCAGCTTACACATCCTCTCTTTCTCAAAATCCCCCACCTTAACACAAATTTTTCCTCCATTTCTTTTTCTGGTTTTAGAAACTTGAACGAAATCATTGCTTCTGTCTTTACTTATCTTTTATTATGATCATATAAAAATTCTCAATTTTCATATTATCTAGTAAAAGCTAAGTAAAGAGGGGCAGCTGTCAGCACCCAATTTCGTCTGGGTAGAGTGAAATAAAATAAGGTTAATAAATAATAATATTTATTCTTAAAATATAAAAAAAGAGGGGGTAAAATCAAAATTAAATTAAAAAAATGAAAAAAAAAAAGAGAAAACTAAAAAGTGTTGAAAAGAGAAAAGAGAAATCAATCCCTCGTATTAGTTTTGAAAAGAAAAAAAAATGTATACATGTACTAGTATGAGGAAAATAAGCAAAAAGAAAAGAAAAGGGCAATATTCTCATTTGGGCCAACCCTTTCTACCCTAGGCTGCTCTCAAACATTTTAACCTACTCGTTAGCTTTATAAAGAGAAAAAATAGTAATATAGGAAATTATCTTTTCTCGGGAGCCGCAAAGGAGAGATACCGAAGAAGGAGCAAACAAGAAAATGCACGGGAAAAGACAAATTAGGTATATTTCTTACATTTTTTTTTTTTGCTTTGGGCATTCTTCCCTTAAGGCGAATGCTCCCTCTCAATTTTTTTGCCAAAAACCCACTTTTCAAACTACTCATCCCCGATTTTCACCCGTCACCTCCACTCTTTCTCACCGGCACTGCACATCACCACTTCCTAGCCATTCCATCTTCATCCCTCGCCAACCACCATTAAACACTGCGCCCCACTCTCCCTCATTCACTGGCCCTCACACTCCCATCCTCTCTCCCTTAAATCAACCAATACCACCCACTCTCCCAAACTCTCACTCACGCTCACCCACCGGTCGCCCTAAATCACCCCTCGTAGCCAGCCCAGCCACCCAACTCCACACCCTTCAATGCATACCACACCTCCAACTATCACCGCAAGCCACGATGCCTTCACCCTAGGCACCGCAATCTCACCTTCCCCAAATGGCCATCGCGCCTTCACCTTGACCAGCCACCACTAGCTTGAGTCGAGCCGTTGGCCTCGTCATCGAGCCCTTCCGCGGCCACCCCCACTACTAGTGACCCGCGGGTCCTTTCCTCACCCAAACACGAATCATTAACCCTGGCCATCCCTAATCGCGGCAAGCCTCCACACCACTACTTCCACGGTCCTGATCATCCCTGGCTGCGAGACGCTGGTGACCTCGGTCCCTTTTCCCCTGATTTTGGTTGTGCCGGTAACGCGGGCTGTGCCCTGGTCGCGACCACCGTGGAGGTCTCATCTGGAACCGAGACCATTTCCCCTCTCTCTATTTTTTATTTATTTTTTATTTTTTTGTGTTTCACTTCTTTGCACTGGATCAGGCTATATCTAGATTGGGTGAGGTTTAGAATCATCTTTGCGACATTCGTGGATCATTATGATTTTTGCTTTGATAAATTGTTGTGGATTGTTGAATCTGAACTATGTTTGTTGCATTCATGGACTGTTATGACTTTTGTTTTGAGGATTGTTGAATCATAGTTGTTTTCATGGACTGTTATGATTTTACTTTGAGGATTGTTGAATCTGGACTATATCTAAGGCAGACCATGGGTCCTGTAGGTGGATGTTAAATTTTCTGTGCTGCCAAATTTTCGTTTGGTCTGGATGAGTAAATGATCTTTTTGTAGAATTCTTTTCTTTTATTATTTTGGTCTTATAGTATTCAATCTATTGGTCTAGTTGGACCGGGTCCAACAATCTAATTCGGATTATACAATGCCTGTAATATGAGTTTCTTCACAAAAATAATGTAAAAATGTCTTAAGAAAGAATTTTCAAATATACCACATAACTGGCGTGATTCTTTCTTCAAAAACTTCAATTATGATTGTTTGATTGATTGCTCAAAGGTATTTTTTAAAAGACTAAAACAATCATGTTTATATAGATATTTGTTCTAACTACTTGGTTTAATTAATCTGTTAAAATAATCTTTTAATCGGTTAAAGGTCTTGAATTAATCTGTTAAAATTTCTTTTAATCTATTAAAATGTTCTTGATCATTTTTCAGATTTGTTTTAATTGATATGATAATGTTTCAATCAATTAAAACACTTTGTAAAAAATCCCTTAGGTTGTTTCAATCGATTAAAACACAATTTAATCGATTAAAATTTTGCCAAATATTTTCATAAAACTTTTTAAGTGATTTTATCTGATAACAACCAATTTTAATCGATTAAAACAGTTAGCAGAATTTTCCTTAAATTGTTTTAATTGATTAATTTGATTTTACATCGATTAAAATACTGATAGAACATCTTTCAAAATATTTCAAGTTATTTTAATCGATTATTTCGAGTTTGTATCGATTAAAATACTACCAGAACACTTTCTAAAACATTTTAAGTGATTTTAATCGATTATTTTGAAACTATATCAGTTAAAACACTAGCAGAAGGTTTTCAAAAACTCTTTTAATGAAAACAATCGATTAATTCGAAGGTATATCGATTAAAATAGTTTCAGTGAATGTTTTAAAATGTTTTAATCGATTATTTTGAAAACCTATCAATTAGAAACCTGTTATGTAAGTTTTAAGAACATTTTAACTGATAAAACTCATAATATCAGTTAAAACAATTTCTTAAAAACCATTTAATTGATTACTTTTGTTTTTAACATATTAAACATCTTTAGAGGCATTTTCAAAATATTTTAAATGATGAAACCTCATGCAGCAGAGAGATATGAATGATTAAACCTATGTATAGATGCAGACTCACTAATCACTTTTACCCTTTTAACCAAGTAACCTTTGACTTCATCAGAATAGCCTTTGACTTTATTTGACTTCAAAAAATCAACAAGATCTTCGTTTTATCAAATGATTCAATAAGATCTTCATCACTTTCAAGTTCTTGGTGTGGATTGGGTGTTTTGTAATTCGGGTTTGTAATAAGAAACATAATCAATCTAATGGAATTCAATTGGAATTTGGTTGAGAACTGGATGTAGCCTTGTGGTTTGGGAGAACCAATATAAATCTTGTGTGTCTTTCTCTAAACCTTTACTCTCTTTTATTCTGCTAGTGCCTTACATAGAACTGCTTGTTTTTCTTGGTTTAAAACTTGATTAAAATTCATAATTTTTGAAATAGATAATATGTATTCTTAAAAGTACGAAAAACTTTCAAAGATCAATTCACCTCCACTCTTAATCTCAGCCTACATTTCTAACAATTAGTATCAGAGCAGGGTCTTGAACATCACTCAAGACTTTCAGTCTAAATTTTTCAATGGTTGAAAACAAATTACCTTTTTCTAAGGATGCTTCTATAAATAGACCTCCACTGTTTTGTGGTACAAATTATCAATTTTGGTAGATCAGGATGAAGATCTTTATTAAATCTATTGATAGGAATGTTTGGGATGTAATTGTAAATGATCCACTTATTACAGAAAAAGATTGGTCCAGTTTGAATGATGAAGAAAAGAGAAAAGTTCAACATGATTGCACTGCTAAAAACATTATTACATCTGCTCTTAACATGGATGAATTTTTCAGGGTCTCTCAATGCAAATCTACAAAGGAAATATGGGAAGTTCTTGAGGTTACCCATGAAGGGACAGTTGATGTCAAAAGAGCTAGGAAACATACTCTCATCAGAGAATATGAATTGTTCAAAATGCAATCTGGAGAAAGTATTGTAGATGTGCAGAAATGCTTTACCCACATCATCAATCATCTAATGGGTCTAGGTAAGACTTTTGATAAAGAGGAATTGAATATCAAAGTTCTGAAATATCTTGACAGGTCATGGCAACTCAAGGTCACAGCAATTTCAGAGTCAAAAGATTTACCTATCATGACAACAGCCTCTTTATTTGGTAAGCTTAGAAAACATGAGATGGAAATTAATAGGTTCAATGAGCAAAAGATTTCTGAAAAGAAAGGAAATAGCATAACACTCAAAGTTGAAGAAAAAGATAAAGAATCTGAAGAAGAAAGTGAGAATCTTGGTCTACTAGTAAAAAAATTCAACAGGTTTCTCAAGAAAAATATCCAAGATAAAGAAAGACAGAAAATGTATGAAAAGAAATATGATTCTTTTAACTATAAGTGTTATGATTGTGGTAAGCAAGGTGATGTAAGAATGGAGTGCCCAGAAAAGAACAAGCACAATGACAAGAAAGAAGAAAAGATAAAAAGGAGAGCATACATAGCTTGAGATGACAATGATACCTCATCAACAAAAAATTCTGATGATGAAGAAGCTAACTTGTGCTTGATGGCTAATCAAAATTTCTCAACCAGTAGTGTAAGTTCTACTTCTTCTACAAATTTTATGAATTACAGTTCATTACAATATGCCTTAATGAGATGCATGAAGAAGTCAAGAAACTTGAAAAAGAAAACAAAATATTAAAAGGCATGAACAAATGGTTAGAGAATAAGGTTGAAACTCTTGAAAAGAAAATACTTGAGGATGAAACTTATCTTAATTACTTGAAATTAATTCATGATAATTCTGATTGCTTATGTAATAAAATTAGACCATGTGAAAATTGTTCAGATCTACAAAAGAAGATTGAATATCTGTTAAAAGTTGTTTCAAAGTTTACACAAGACAAAGCCAATCTAGATATTCTTCTTAGTTCACAGAAACTTGTTCTTGATAAAAATTGGCATTTGATTTACATCTAGTAAGAAAATCAGAAAAATAAAAAATCACTATGCATATAGAAAACCATACTCATCATCTTTCATTAAATGATTCTATTACATGAAAACAAGTCACTCTGCTAAATTCTACAGAATTAAGAAATATGTTGTACCAAAAGGTAGACTAAAGTGGGTTCCTAAAATTTCATTTCAAATAACTTGAAAGGACCCTATTATCATCAAAGGGTACCAAATATTGTAAATTTCTTTTGTAGGAACAATAATCTAAAGATCTCTTGGCACCTAGACAACAAATTTGTTTGATGGATATGAAAAACAAGGAGTAAAGTCATGGTATGATTATGTTAATTGATACAAAACAATTTTAATCGATTAAAATACTGAAAACAACAATAATGTTTCTATTTTAATCGATTAGTTTTTAAAATAATCGATTAAATTCATTAACAGAAGATTTAGAAAAGGTGTCCGTATTGTTTTAATCTATTATCCTGCGAATTAATCGATTAAAATGTTCTCAGGATTTCAGTATAGATTTATCGTCTCTGTTTTAATCGATTAAAAATTACTTACATCAGTTAAAATCATTAAATGGTTAAAATTAATCGATTCTTTTTTGTTTTAATTGATTAAGATTCTGTTGTTATTTCATTAACCATATCAAGTACAAAAATAATCGATTATTTTCTGTTTTAATAAATTATTACACTATTGTTATTTCTAACCTACAATTCCAGATCAAATTAATTGATTAATTTAATGATTAATCAATTAATTCGTTCTTGGAAATTGCTTTAATATGGTTTAATTGAAGAATTTTCAACAAATCAAAAATTGATTTTTCAAGATTTATTGTTTATCAATATCTGTAAAAAGCATTTACTGTACTATTTGACCAAGTCAATACCTATCCAAAGAACAAATTAGCTGATGTACCCACTGCCCAAAGCAAGTACCTTTACAGCAAGCCTCCTATTTATAGTTTTCGCAGTCTGACAGCTTGGGTCGGTCGTCTGGGGCCTGGAAAACAGGGATGGGCGTCTGGGGAAGTCGGGACGGCCGTCTGGGATTTGGGACGGCCGTCTCGAGCTTCAAAACTAGTTGGGACGGCCGTCTGGAACTTGGGACGGTCGTCTGGGCTTCTGGGACGGCCGTCCCAACTTCTGGGATGGTCATCTCAACTATTTTTGCCAGATTTTGTGTTCTGGGACCCCCAGGAAGCTTTCCTTTCTTTATTCGAACATCGATTGATGCTGATAGACATCCATTGAAGCTTTTATCTTCATATAGGAAGTCTTCTTGGCCTATATTGAGATGTCGGGCAAGCTTTATCTTGTTATAGGAAGTCTCCTCAGCCTTTATTGAGAGACCGGACAAAATTAGGGGTTTACAGCTGCCCCCCCTTCACCTGCCTGACTAATTGTTGGCCTAATATGCCGACAAAGTTAGTTGGTTGGGGAAGGAGTTAACCCTTTTTGCCCGGTTATCCTTCAGATGCTCCTTCGCTTGAAGTTTGCTAATCCTCCGGATGATAAATATTTTTGATAGGTACCAACCCCTATCTGGTTTGAGCCTTCTTTTATAAGGCTCTGGTGAGTACTTACCCTCACCAGGTATAAGTCTGCATTTCACTAGACTCTTGTGGGTACCTACCCCCACTAGGTATGAATCTGCTTTTTGATAAGTACCTACCCTCATCTGGTGCGAACCCTATTTCATAAGGCTCTTGTGGGTACCTACCCCCACCTGGTATGAATCTTGTTCTGCAAGGCTTTGGTGAGTACTTACCCTCACGGTATGAGTTCGCATTCTGCTAAACTCTTGTGGGTACTTACTTCCGAGGTGCTCAACACTGAAATATCCTTTAATAGAAGTAAGGTCTTTGCAACCCATTTTTGTAATGCTCTGGTGAGTATTTTACAC